GCGTTTGGACGCAAAACTCGGACAATGCAAGCTTCTTGATAGTGTCGTTTTATTCTACGGGCGCGCTTTCAAGTCGCAGGAAGCATTGCTTTAGGGTTGGAGTTGCCAGGCTTTCAGGGGTGGAGTTGCCAGGCTTTTAGGGGCCCGTTGTTTGTGAATCCCAAAGCCAAATTCAATTATCAAGACAGTTGGGCTGCCGTTGCAGGAAACGGCAAATAGTGTAGGAGAAGCGCGGTTGCATCCTGGCTGGCTGACACGGCCAAGCGAGGTGCAAGAGGGTCTGGCGTGTGCTAACTGTATGGCTTCCGCAAAGGCCTTTGCGTGGCATCCGCGTTCGGCCCGAGCGGGATCCGAGCGGGATTCCGAGCGTGGCTTCGCTTGCCTTTGCTTGTGCCCTTGCGTGGCACCCGTGCTCGGCCCGAGCAGAAACTCGAACGCGGTTGCTCTTCCATTTGCTGACGCCTGTTGCGTGGCATCCGTGTCGCCCCAAGCAGGAGCCCGAGCGTTTGTACGTTTGCCTGCCAAAGTGTACTTTGTTTATTACACTTGTACTGACAAGTTGCGACCATTGAGCTGGAGCTGCCAAAGTGTATTTCCTTACTACACTTGTACTGAAAAGTTGCGACTTTTGTGCCGGAGCTGCCATAGTGCGTTTCGTTTATTACACATGTGCTGAAAAGTTGTGACTTTCGAGGCAGAGCTGCCAAAGTGTACTTCCTTTACTACACTTGCACTGACAAGTTGCGACCTTCGAGCCGGAGCTGCCAAAGTGTATCTCCTTGTACTGAAAAGACTTTCGAGCCAGAGCTGCCAAGGTGTATTTCCCTTACTGCACTTGTACTGACAAGTTGCGACCTTCGAGCCGGAGCTGCCAAAGTTTCCTTGTACTGAAAAGTTGCGACTTTCGAGCCAGAGCTGCCAAGGTGTATTTCCGTTACTGCACTTGTACTGACAAGTTGCGACCTTCGAGCCGGAGCTGCCAAAGTTTCCTTGTACTGAAAAGTTGCGACTATCGAGCCGGAGCTGCCAAAGTGTGTTTCCTTTACTGCACTTGTACTGAAAAGTTGCGACTTGCGAGCCGGAGCTGCATTGCTGGATTTCCACACGTCAACGCGCTAGAATTTGGCACCTGGTAATCCATTTGTATGTTGGCAAACTCTTGTCTTTCACCCTGACAAGTCGTGGGACACAAAAGAGCCACGGACAAAACACGTGTAGACCACTTTGGTAAAGGGGGTACTCTTTGGCCTACGACTCCAAAAAGCCACGGACAACGATAAGGTCCCCCCCGAAAACGATAACCGTTAGTAAACACGTGGCTCCACAATAACCCCTGCAGTTGCAGCTTAGTTGGGGTGGGACCCTTGCGTGGCCGCCGTAAAACGCTAAGGCGAGTCGCGACTTGTGTTCTTCGCGCGTGCTCGGCTTGTGCTACAAAGTTGCGATTTTCGCGCTGGAGCTGCGGAAGTGCACTTCGCGTACTAGACTTGTACTACAAAGTTGCGATTTTCGAGCTGGAGCTGCGGAAGTGTGCTTCGCGCACTAGACTTGCACTACAAAGTTGCGATTTGGAAGTGTGTTTCGCGTACTAGACTTGTACTACAAAGTTGCGATTTTCGAGCTGGAGCTGCGGGAAGTGTGCTTCGCGTACTAGACTTGTACTGCAAAGTTGCGATTTTTGAGCTGGAGCTGCGGAAGTGTACTTCGCGCACAGACTTGTACCACAAAGTTGCGATTTTCGAGCTGGAGCTGCGGAAGTGGGCTTCGCGCACTAGACTTGCACTACGATTTTCGAGCTGGAGCTGCGGAAGTGCACTTCGCGTGCTAGACTTGTGTGCTACAAAGTTGGAATTTTCGATCTGGAGCTGCGGAAGTGTACTTCGCGTAGCTAGACTTGTGCTACAAAGTTGCGATTTTGGAGCCGGAGCTGCCAAAGTTCGAAAACACTGTAACACAATAATAACGTTCAACAAAGTACTAGGGCCAAGTAAAGCATCACCTATCCACGCAAGCTCCATGTAAGCCAGTCCACCGCACACCCTTCCTCCATCATGGGCTCACTGGGTTCTGCAAGTTTCTACGCTTAGTGAAGATTTGACACGTGTGCTTCCATGAACATTCGAGAAAGCGTATGTAGCCCTTTGATGTTCTGTTCGCCTGCCCAAAGCCAGAGAGCCCCATGTGCTAACTGTTGACCGCTGTTTTGGGTTTCAGGGTGTGGCAGGTGTGTGCTAACTGTTCAGGGTTGACGGGGCATTCCGGCCAACACAGTAATGTGCTATCTGCCTAGGAAAAAAGTGCTAACTGATTGATACGCACTATACTACACGTGTGCTGAAAAGTTGCGACTTTCAAGCTGGAGCTGCCGAAGTGTACTTTCACGCTTGTACTGGACTTTCGAGCCGGATCTGCCAAATCTACTTCCTTTGCTACACAAAGTTGCGGTTTTCGAGCCGGAGTCGCCAAAATGTACTTCCTTTACTACGCTTGTACTGAAAAGTTGCGACTTTCGAGCTTACTTCCTTTACTGCATTTGTACTGAAAAGTTGCGACTTTCGAGCCGGAGCTGCCAAGGCATACTACTTCCTGCCAGCTGCCAATGCGTACTTCCTGTACTACACTTGTACTGAAAAGTTGAGACGTCCGGGCTGGAGCTGCCAATGCGTACTTCCTGTACTACAGTTGTGCTGAAAAGTTGCGGCTTTCGAGCCGGAGCTGCCAAAGTGTACTTCCTTTACTACACTTGTACTGAAAAGTTGCGACTTTTGAGACGGATCTGCCAAGTGTACTTCCTTTACTACACTTGTACTGAAAAGTTGCGACTTTTGAGACGGATCTGCCAAGTGTACTTCCTTTACTACACTTGTACTGCATTGCGAAAGTTGCTCGTTTCAGAAAGCGTATCTCTGCCCACAACCAGAGAGGCATGTGCTAACTGTTGGTCGCCCCTTTCGGTTTCGGGGTGTGGCAGGTGTGTGCTAACTGTTCGGGGCTGACGGGGGCATTCCGGCCAACCCAGGGATGTGCTAACTGTGCCGCCTGCTAAAAAGTGCTAACTGATAGATACGCACTATAACTTAGCTTTTTAGCCTTTTAGTTTTTAGTGGTGATTTCCATTTAACTCACTAAAAGTTAAACTTTAGGGGGGGATCTGAGGGCAGCCCAGTCTAGTTGGTCACGGTTGCGCTGGTCGCCTGGTATCAAACACTGCTTTTGTTGCTTTTCTTCTCAAGTCCTGCTTTTCCCCCTATCGACTCAGTGCAAGCGTGTCCAACTGGGGGTGGGGTGGTAGAGGAGTCTGCTGACCTTGGCCCAGTTGATTCCTGGGAAGATGTGCAGACCAGTGACTTGTTGAATTGTGTCAGCAAACGTGGTGTTTCTGACATTCATTCTGATGGTGCATTGTGTTGGCCAAAGGCAGCTGGCATCGAAAGTGCAGAACTCTCATCAGGTGAGCCACCAACGAAAAACAATTCTGTAGACACGGAGATGATGTCAGAAGTCTCAAGTTATCCAAGGCTCATGGAAGTCAATCAGTTGCTCGTGAATGGCAGTCATTGAACGCTTTTTTCACATGTTAATGTTCATTTGAAGATATTTGAAGCAAATAACTTACCAATTCGTGTGGGACGAAGCTTGGGAACTGCACTGCTTCGCCTAATGCTTTGTTGGGGGCATTGGCAAAATTGTCCCGCAGATAGCCGAACGAAGTAGTTTTTGCATGTTGACGCCTGCCACGCTGCGAGCGAAATGAGCGAAATGAGCGAACGTTTTTGACAGTGACGGCTGCGAAAACACCAGGCGACTAGCGCAACCGTGACCGTCTAGTTAGCTCAAGGAACTTCTTGAACCAGCCAGCAACCGTACTTGACGAGCCAGCTTGACGAGCCAGCTTGCAGACTAGCTGACTCGCCAAGCAGCTTGCCAACTGTGAACTACAGTAGCTCTATTTGAGCTAACAACTTATCGACCTTGCTAGCTAGCCACTAGCTAGCTTGCCTGAACTATCAAACTAGCGAACTAGCTCACAAGCTATCTGACTAACTTACTAGCTGGTTATTTGACTTCTAGCTACCTGGCCAATTGTACCTAAAACGCCCAGCTCATCAACTAGTCAGCTAACGATCTAGCCAGCAAACCCAACTGGCCAAAAAAGCATACTCGTGTACTAGCTAACTGCATAACCAGCGAATGAACTAGCTAAGACGAGTCAGCTAGCTTGCCAACAAATTCATTCTCTCAAATCCAAGAAGCTTTCTGACCTAATACCTCGCCAATCAAGCAAGGGGCAACGAGGCAAGCGCGCAAGCTATCCAACTGGCGAGCAAAGCTAACCTGCAGTCTAGTGCCTGCTGCCTAGCGGATATCTATTTGGCTGACGAGTTGGTTTAACCAGCTTGATTTCTCGCATGGTTTCAGTGCTGCTACCTGTGCTGCGGGTCCAAGGCAGTGTTGAGGCAGAATTATCACCATGGATTCCCCACAATGCTAGTAAAGTCCAGGGCCGGGCGGATACTTTAAACAGGTGAGAGCAAGAGTTTGGCAAGTGCTCCCTGCGAAATGCCAGTGCATGCAAGCGCGCCAATTGGCCTTTGCGCCCCAGCGCTGTCTACAGAGTGCGCCAGCGAATGGCCGGCGCAGATCAGGATTTGGGTAGAATTTTGGTTTACATTCCCCTCTTGCAGGGACCAACGGCCATTTCCGCCTTGTGACTCCCCGTGAGACGGTGTTAGAGCAGCCAACTTCAGTGGCAGGGCCTGTTCTCTGAGAAAATGCCGCAAACAGGTCACTGGGCGAGTCCACATTCACTGAAGCTGAGAAATCGTTCACCGACTTTTGGGCTTTATGACTACTTGGTTGCATCTTTGGACTTTACACTTTTGGAAAACAGCTCGGATTGTCCATTGGACCCACACAAAGTGAAAACGCGTTTTAGGCCGAGGGCTCCTTCCAACCACCAAGCTGCAAAACCCGCCGAAAATGCGACGTCGGCTGGGCAGAAGCTGCTGTGGCACGTGCTTTTGGCCGCCTCCTTGCACTCTGTGGAGCTCCTGGCAGCGGTTCCCCTACTGCTGGCCGGATCGAACCGGGGCGGGGGGTGGGGAGGGAGAGGGGGGGTCCTTTTTAGGTTGCTTTGGCTAGAAAAATAGATGGATTCCACTGACTGGTTTAGCTTGGTTTCATTCCATTTACCAGGACCATCTATTTCCCAAAGGACACCTATGGTGGGGGGTGGTCGTTGAGGTGAAGGTTCAGGGGTCCCTGCTGAAAGGGGCGATCGATGCAGGGTAGGTAAGTGGTGATCGCAAGCCTGGTGAGATATAACCCACAAAAGCCATGGTTATTTTTGTCTCCGTTCAGTGGGTGATTTCATCAGACTAACCACTTACTAAGTACCCCTCCCCTTCAAGTGTTGAGTCATTCGCGATGAACTTCAAAAAGAACGAGTCCGAATTGGATGCGATTCAGATGGTGTTGTTTTTTTTCGGCCCAACCAGGGTTGCTGAAATGACTGGCTACAAAAAGCATCAGTCAAGCAATTTTAAAACTAGGTTGGCATTCGGGGACTTGCCATGACAAGCATTCAAGGGCCCGCTTTTGTTGGTTTTTCTATTTGGACAAGCATGAGCCAATGAGGCATGATGCAGAATGCAGTACGTACCGCTATTTGCTGTAGCGGCCTTAAAGGATGGGTAGCCAGGATAATGTCCACGCAGGCTAGTTACTTGAGATGCTGCTTCGTAGCCCCAAGAAGACGATGTTATCCAATTGCTTCAACATGTCCCACTTGCAAACTGGCCAAGCATTGGTGGCTACCCTTCCATCCGCCGTCCAGCTAGGGTTGTTGCAATTATGTTGGATGGGATGATGGTTGCATGGAGGGCCCAGACGAAAAGGCATTAACTAGGTCCCCCACTGTTGCCCTTTTACCCATTTTTGGGTTGGGAGGGTTCCCCTACTAAAATCGACTACAGAAAAGTTGGTACCCTTATTCTAACCTCTCTACGGGAGGTCCTAGCAACAGTATGTCCCGGTGAAAAGCAACATGACTTTCGACTCGAGCCGTTCCCGCCAGGCGGTATATGTTTTTTTTGCTTTCCGTTCAGGCACGCATGGAGCTTCGGGCATCTGAATTGCGAATGCTAATACACACGTATTCCATTGATTCCCAACCAAGCAAGCCATCCCGCAAAAGTTATGTTGCTGAGGAGTCTTCTAATTCTGCAGTGATTACATGCAAGCTGTTTGCATTCCTGCCATGGATGCGGCTTTGCTGCTGGTGGTAAACAAGAATCAATCAGACGTGCGCGCCGGTTCGGAGCTATGACATGTGTCTTTGGTGCCTTCCATGATTTAGAATATCAGATGCCAGGATAGGATCTCCAAGGAGGAGTGGCCCTCTGTGAAGAGCTGGACTGATCCAAGGCGGGCCGTCGCAGTCAAACCCGCCAAAGTGTAACTTAGTTTCAGTTCTGATGCACGTTCGTTTGTAAAATACACACAACAATGATTGTTCGAGGCCATGTACGGCCATGTCTTGTTTCTAGTCGCCAGAACGCCTTTTGCATGTCTTCATGGATTGTTGACTGCTTTCTTTGCAGGACGCTGGTTGCCGTCTCTGCATAGCGCAAACGGCCATTTACGACCAGGTCTTGCAATATGAGCTCCTCGTCTTGTGAGACGCTGGGTGTATTTTTGGGAAGACGTTCCGAGAGCCTGGAGGCTGTTTTTTTGGTTGAGTGGGCATTGGCATCGTTTGGATGCCAGCTCACCTGAGAGTACCCCAAGGGAGGAATCAATATTATTGGTCGCCAGAACGCCTTTTGGATTTCTTCATGGCGCATTGTCCTGGCCCAGGCTTGCTACAATGACTGACCCTAGGATTGCTGGCATCTGGGGTACTCCCCTGCGCCTAGTTGAGCATTGAGCTGTTTTTATTCACGCAAGCCGAGGACATTCTCCTTTCGGAAACGCGTCAGCACATGGAATATTTGGAGATTGGCTCTGGTACTGAAAAGTGGTGCCTGATGATGTTGCCACGTAACCAAGAAGAGACTGGCCAAAATTTGTGCGGAGACAGCTGACAGCGGCTGAGGTCGTTTTGCACCTAAGGTCTTAACCCTACGCTTAATTATACATGTGAGCATGTGCGCATGTGGGCGCAGTTTGATTCACACTTGACACAACTCTCGTAGGCAAGCAGGCAAGCAATCAAGCAAGCAAGCAAGCAAGCAACCGACCAGCCAGGTAACCAACAAGCAGACAAAGAGACAACTAAAGGGTTGTGCCATGATATGTTTATCTCCGGAAATTGGAATCGACGTTAATCCCACTCTGACGCGCAACACGCCGTGACCTCTGCGTGTTGGGGCCTTGGAAACATCAGCATGATGTTTGCCTAGGTTGTAGCGAGCTCACCGATTCGGGGGTAAAACCGAGCGACAGCCATGGTAAAGGTCCTTTACTTGGCTAGTCCCCCAGCTAGGTGCTCTTTCTCACCCTTTCTTGGAGGAGGGTTCCCCTACTAAAATCGACTACAGAAAAAAGTTGGTACCCTTATTCTAGACTCTCTACTGGAGGACCTAGTAAAGGTCCTTTACTTGGGGATCCCCTAATTCAGCTTTTGGAATTATGGTCAAACTTAAATTTGGCGGAATTATACGCATCCAGAAACGAGTGCTTGCGGAGCTCATCTTGACAAAAAACATCTTCCGAATGAAGCGGGCTAGGGAAATCAGAATTCAGGCCCCTTTTGGGAACAAACATTTCCGAAAATAATTAACCCATACTTGGTTGCATTTTGCTTGGATGATAGGACTTTAACTTTTTGCCAACTAATGGGCTTTCCATTAAACCACTAAAAGTTAAACTCTTAGCAGGGGAGCAGAAAGCAACCGAGCATGTTCTCTAAAGAGGATCGGCTTTTCTTCACTTGAAATCACATCAGTCTAGCTATGCTTTTCAAAGGTTTACGTGATCCGATCATTCCTGCCAGGCTCTTTGGTGGCGAGCCAACTGGGGGTCTGTGGCTGATCCTGAAAGCCTTTGCCGCTCAGACCGAGGTTTGCTCATGTGCCATTTGCACGCTGTCACTTCAGAACGAGTTCAACACGTGGCACACACACACACACATGCGCAAGAGAATGTACACTGCGTAGAGAGAAAAACGAAAACAAACGGTGTTGCGAAGGCCGACACACTGTCATTGTCGAGCATTCGGAGCAGGATCGGAAAGGAGACAGCCTGCCACTCAGGTGAGCGTCGCAGTGGTGACGCGGCAGTACGACTTGGTGAACCGGATGGTTGTCCAGATTGCCCCTTGCCCTGGAACAGCTCGCAGTCGTGTTTTTTCTTGTTTTTTATTTTTTTCTCCGCGATATGCTGGATACTATCCTGAAACCCCCATGGAACCTAGACACGCATAGAGGAAACTGCTTAAGATAATGGCTTCCAAAAGAACAACAACTTTTCCCTCCTGAAGTCGCAGGCATCATTCCAAGATCACTGCACCTCGTTTGTTTGTCTGTTTGATCCTTCCTGCATGCAGTTTTTACATGATGCGTGTGTGTGTGTGTGTGTGATTGTGGTTGCCAAACATGGAAGAAGAGATCTGTTCAATTCCATATGGGCGCGAGTTAGTTCATCTCTGCTTGCAAAGAACTTTAAGGTGAGAGGTGGGACCCAGCACCATCCTCGGGTTGTTTGTACGTGGAAAAGGCGGACATGTGTCTGTGCAGCACGAAGCCACGTAGCCTTCCCCACAAACAAATCAGTGTCGCGCACAGTACAGCTACGTCATATAAAATGCCTAAGTTTGGTACGTAAGGGCAGCCCGGTCAAGCATTTGACACAAACCAACTGCAAAAGACACGTTGAAATGTCTTTTTCGGGTCTTTCTTCTGGCCGCTTTTGGCCGCAATGCTGGTCCTCTCTTGCAAACTGTGCGCAAAGCAGGAGCGTTGTTGCCGGTTTTATGCTTCATAGTTAGTAGCTGCTGCTCATGTTCCGAATGGTCGCGAACAAAGCAAATTTCGGGCACTTTGCATCGCATGTTGCTGCCAAAATTTGCATTGCTTTCCCAGCTGTGCTTCAGTCGCGCCCATGAGACCACTGCTTGAGTCTCGCCTCCGGCACACGCTTGGACTTGCTGTTTTCCAGAGTGGAGGGTTACAGATCATCCCTTTGGACCTGCTTGGTTGTTTGAGTTTCTTTGTTGCTTCAACTTGAAGAAGTCATACCTTTTGACTAATATCTGGTGCAAGGAAGTCGTAGAATGAACTTGGGGGGTCCAGCAATGTAGCTAGGCCTAAATTATATCTAGGGTTGCACGCCTTTAAAGGTTTTCATCAGAAGTCTCGGTCCTTAGAGCTGAATGACCCCGTGTGGTGCCTCAATGCTTGCCTCCCTCGTTTGATCGCATATGTCGTGTTGAACAACCCATCAGGACGCTGCTTGACTGCTCCTTGGTGTTTTGGAGCAATCCTTCATTATTTTTTTGTTTTTCTTGCGTGCATATGATGTACATGTATATTGTAGATGTACATGTAGATGCATATATATATATATATATTATGGCCCTCCGGGTGTGTGTGTGTGTGTGACCATATATATATATATATGTATATATACATATATATATATGTATGTCTATGTATCTGGGCCCCAGCGCCCAGAAAGCCTCGGGGGGAAGGGGTGAAGTGGTGCATCTCTCCCGGCAACTCCGAAGCTTCGCCAGCCGGACGTCCTGGGCGCTCATCAAATGGCCCACCTCTACACCGCGGAGGAGGCAGATGCCAAGAAGTGGCCGCTCAGCTCGAAGCCGCGCCGTGAAGCCACGCCGCCGTGTGTGATCAATTTACTGGTGGTGTCCAGGGAAGCGATCGATTTTTCCACTTTTGGAGGTTGCAAAAAGGGAAATGGAGCAAACCCGTCTGGTGGCTTCTGTTGAAACGATCGAATTCCACTTGTTGAGGTAACCCAAAAAGGGAAATGGCTCGGACAATTTGAAGAAAGCCTGTCGAATGCTGGGGTAAGACGTCACCAGGTCATGTTCAGGGATCCTTAAAGAAACCTGGGCCCCCGTACTTGCCACAAAGCCAT